TGTTGCTGTTTGCAGGATACACCCAATGTGATAGTCTCCACACTGTAGCTGATTCCACAGATAGCATTGCTGTGATTACGTATTTCCTCAAGCTTACTACATTCGCTATTTAATGTCATTCTCATCTGGATATCCTACGTTCGATGAGATCATCCGCTGTTGCCCAATGTCCGTTTTGTTGCACTCTGAATGTCAGTTCGCCATGCAAATTTGGTAAGTGGTAAATTCATGTTCGAAGTGAGAAAAATTCTTTGGGTTGTTATTTCGTCGACAGTACCGAATTAAGTCTGACGAGCACTGACCGTTATTTCCGAAGCTTTTTATGTGTCTTATAGTCCCGTTTGTCAGACCAGCATGATTTTGTACTCCTTCGTTATGCAAATGGCTCAGAACGATTCAGTTTAATAGGTTCTACCCTACACCAGGGCGAACGCGGCTCCATGTGTGAGGCAGTGATATCTTGAATTGGATCACATATTTGAAGAATGGGGTGGTCACACTCAAGGTATCTGAGGAATGTTGAAAAGCGCGCGGTATGAAGAGTTTGGATTTCACTATGGAATACCGGGTATTACGGTACGCATGTTGAACGTTCCAGTTCTCCAGTTTATCCTCATGTGCAATAAGAATGATCCTCGTCTAAATAGATGCGAAAATTTCGCACGACTTCGCCGATCTTCTCCACGCTAGTTTGAACACAACACTCGAAACATTATCGATTGCCTTCATTCTGATTACTCCCAGTAATTTGTGCACAGATCTGGTTCGTTGCATTTAGGTTCAAATAAATTTTACTCGGATATCAATCAATTGTGGCACACGTGGATTGGTCATATGTGTAATGGTCGGAGGCATAGCTCAGTGGTAGAGCATTCGACTGCAGATCGAGAGGTCCCCGGTTCGAGTCCGGGTGTCTCCTGATTTTCACCTCATACTGTTCAGTGTCTGAAGATTTGATCAGATCGAACCCTGTTCTCCATATGTATATCGGTTACGGTCTCACACCTTGTAACTTACATCGGATACGAGTTGTGTTGTTGGACGATAATTGGCAGGAATTGAGAACGCGCATGCGTGTGCGGATATTGGATGGATGAGTGGATATATTTCATTCTGGTTTCCGGTTAACGGGATTTGTTCTTTCCAGCTGCGTTGTCGCAATCGTCTCTTGGATTTCTGTCTTCTTTCCGCCTTCAATGAAATGGTTGCATTCGTATTAGTACTGGTTCTGTAACTCCGAGATTTGTGTGGTTAATATCCGATATTTTCATTTCACGACCTATGGGTGTTAGATATGTTTGAACATTCTGGGATCATGATACTCAGCCGCCTAAACCGTTTTGTTCGTTGCGTTATATATCCAGACACCTGCTTCATCGAAGCGAGTTGAAACTTCGTGCATACTATTAACTGTCCCACATAATTGACATTTTCCTATTTCTTCATCCCCGACCGCCAACCAAACATTATTATACCTGTCTCGACTGCTGCGAATGTCGTTCGTGACCGAGAAACTGACTGAACACGTTCTAAGTGACAACCACTCATGAGCGTTCACCGAAATCCTTCACCATAGTGTCAGTCGATGGAGCCTGAGAGAACAGGTCTAGCACTTAACCGGGCAATTTTGTTGTCAGTGTGCAAGTGTCGACCTATGATCATAGGTCATCACCAAGGCTGAGTCAGTTCCAGCAAGTTATTTGGCTGTGGAGGTGTATTTGTAATGTATTTTATATACGTGCCTGCATGTCGTGGTTGGCGGCATCCGAAGCGGATTAGCCTGTCCCAGTGACCCAAGCCACTGGACGCCTGCGCTTCAAACCATCACCCCAAGTGCCTTGCGCTGCACCACTTGCGGTTCCATTTTTACACCACGTATCCAGTGTAAACCCGAAGGAATGAGACCTGTAGGTGAATGAGTGAGGCCATTGTGTCTAGCCGGCCGTTGCTGGTTAGCCAATTGAATGGCTAGCACGAAGAGGAATCCCTTATCTCTCGGAAAATACACACACAGAGAGACTCGAATGAAAAGATCTTCACTAAGGAAACAGATATTTAAAATGCAATACAAAAAGCATTTCAGTATACGAGTGTATGCTTATGCATTTTAGAGAGGATAATGTTGAAGCACAAAACTCCAAGTTGAACTGCGAAAAGATCAGACAGACGATTCACCATTCAGTACACCAACACAGCTCAAGAAACGAATGGGTAGAATATCGCAGACACACAAGCTTCTGAGAAAAGGAGCGGATTAGTTGACATACGACCATGGTCTTGGTCGATGCAATAGTTAACAGAAGTAGAATGGATCAGCCTATATGATCTACCCGAGCCTAACGTACTCGTTGTCTCTTCGCCGACGGTGCACTGCACTATGAGTACGCTGGAGATCCGCTAATCACAAACGGCCAGCGCATTCGCGGCCGCACACATCGCAACGCCATATAGTCATGTCACCACGACCTATGGCACCGATGTTTCCCTTGCATACAGCGCGCCTTCGTTCTCGATCGCGCAATAACTGCTCGTTGAACTCGCGGACGCCTGTCCGAATTGTATTCCTCCAAGTAGTCCGGCTGAACGCTAAGTCTTCCCAACACCTAAAATCAGTTTCCCAACGTGACAGACTTACCTGTACAGCACCCTGGTATCTCAGCTTCTGACCACCAGGACTTCGCTTACCTGATCTCAGTTGTCCATACAGCATCTGTTTCGAGATACGGTCGTCACCCATCCGACGGCCGTGAATCAATCAACGAAGCTGATTCAACATCAGCAAGGCTTCCATCCCGTTCATGTGCGCTCGCCGCAGTACCTCACTGTTCGGAACCATGTCCGACCATCAAATACCCAAGACGCGTCTTACACATTGCAAATGAAATTTACTTAGATAGCGCACGTTCCGCTGATAAAATGTCCGCGTTTCACTGCCGTACAGCAGTACAGACAGCACCATTGAGCGATAGACAAACAACTCAATGCTCGGCTTCATGCTGTGGCTCTTCCAAACACGTCTTTCAAGATGTCCGAATGCAGTACTAGCCTTTGCCACACGAGCTCTCAACTCGCGGTACACGGACAGATCGGTGGACAGATTGCTCTCCAAGTAACAAAAATCTGTGCAGCTGCTGACAACATCTCCATTAACACGGATTTGAGGTAGAGGTGCACAGATAGCACGTCCGCCCAGAGAAGGCTGAAAGAAAGAAAACGTCAAACCAGTGTTGATATCCAGTCCAAACTTGGATGCCGCGTTCACGAAAGCCGTGGCCAGTCGCAGCAGTTCGTCCTCGCTGTGGGCAAACAGCGCGCTGTCATCTGCGAACAGAAGCATGCGTATCGTCGAGGTATGCAACAGGGATGGTACACCGAATCGTCAAATATTCAGTAGGCGCCCGTCCGTCCCGTACTCTACCTTAACACCGTACTCCTCAGGGTCCTGTAAAGCAACTGTTAGCATGTCAGTCAAATATAAACTAAATACGGATGAAGCCAGGACACAACCTTGCTTCACGCTAGTGACAATGCCAAAATCATCAGAGGTAGATTCACACGATTACACCTTCGCC